ACTTATCTTACTCTAGTGCACATGCAAGTTCTTGTTCATGAAAACCTTCATAACTCCTCAACCACGAGCCCGCAGCATATAAGAAAGGTAGAATTGGAACCGACGTTTCGTGCGCTTTAAGGCAGTGCCCATCTCATATTAGATAGCCAATTCGACTAACCTCTTTCCTTGTTCGTTACACTCTGCAATCTAGTAGGAAAAATCTAAGAAACTAAAATAGTTTGGCCCTTTTCTCGCAATGGATTTGTAAGAAGAGTTAATCAGCAGTTTTTTCCTTGCCTTTCTAAATTTCAATACTTTCTCGCACACACTCCCAAATAATCCTCACATTGAAATTGCTAATGGGACAACAGCATCTCGCACCTTTCAAGCAATTCAAGTGTTTACGCAAACTTTGAGAACTTTCAACATAGTTAGAGTATGCAAGAAACAGCATTAGTTTGAATTATTTCTTGAGAGTTTGTAAAATTTGCTGCTTAGCTTGCACAAAAGTCTTGGATTCATTCTACGACCTAGTGCGCCTGAATTCTGGCAAAGCAAGACGAGACCCTTGAGCATTCGAATAATTTACGGAATTTTATTAACTCTTTATTGATATGATGACAAAGCTCCACAAGTATCACAAATCAACTTAAGGACAAGCCATGAATTAAGTGGATAATTGTAAGTTTTGCCGGATTTTGTGAAATGTTGCCATCTGAAAGTAGTATATTTGCAGGAGTACATTCCATTTTCAAGCGGTGCGTACCATTAAATATACATCATAATGAATCATCTATTATATCGAAGCTAAAGTCTATACATATTATTCGAAACCCTAAAATTTAAGGGAATTAGTTAGGTTTTTCTAGATCATCTAAGTGCAGTACCTTTTCATTACCTTTGTGGAACTTGTATCGTCTGGAACATAACCACTCATTATCACTCTGCTGCTACCGTACTCTATACTTGTAGTTGCTGATGGAGCTGCAGACCCAGTTCTTGTATTTTGACGAGCACCTCTACGTACAGGTTCTCTAGCATTTTGCTTCATAAAGTCATCCATCGTTTGCTGGAACTCTTTCGGCGGATACTCGTCTCTTAATTCTATCGGCGAAGACATGACTACCGATTTAAGTTTCCTTTCAACTTTTTCCGCTTTTTCCATTGGTTGGGTTTTTCCTGCTAATCTTCTTCGTCTTTCTATCTTTTCAGCCGATCCTTTTGATTTGGTTTCCTCTGCCGATTTGCTGCCATTGCCAGTTTTCTCCGTTGACTCTTTTGAACCAGACTTTTTCGCCTTTTTCTTGCCGCGCTTTCTATTCTTCTCCTTCGATCCTTTCAAACCAAATTTATTCATAATCTTCTTTCCAATATTGTGTGCTGAACCTTTCGAAGTACTCTTCTTCTCCAACTTCCTGCCTCGCTTTCCAATCTTTTCTCCTGATCCTTTTGCGCCGATTTTTTCTGCCGAACCACTGCTTATCGTTCCGGTTTTTTCTGTCGATCCTGATGATGTCCTTCCTTGGTTGCTTGCTGAATTAGAAGACAGAAGCTTTTCAGCCGAATTACGTCTTTGCTCTTTAACTGCTTCCTGAGCGAGTGTTGTCCTAATCTTTTCTGCTGATTCCTTGCTTCCAGTCATTTCCATCGACGCCGTTGATTCTCCTGATGATGTCTTCTTCATCTGGAAGATGTATTAATCATGGTAAACAAATTATGTCTACCTTTACTTACTTGCCACTGCTTACTATCAACTCTTTCTTTCGAATCTCGTGGCTTAATTTTTGCTGGTTTCTTTTTGATTTTGTCGGCATCTTTGCTTTCGGCCGAC